ATGTCAGGCAGTGAGAATGCCTGGGTGTTAACTGATGAGAATTCATCAGTGTTAATACATGTACATGTCAGGCAGTGAGAATGCCTGGATGTTAACTGATGAGAATTCATCAGTGTTAATACATGTACATGTCAGGCAGTGAGAATGCCTGGGTGTTAACTGATGAGAATTCATCAGTGTTAATACATGTACATGTCAGGCAGTGAGAATGCCTGGGTGTTAACTGATGAGAATTCACCAGTGTTAATACATGTACATGTCAGGCAGTGAGAATGCCTGGGTGTTAACTGATGAGAATTCACCAGTGTTAATACATGTACATGTCAGGCAGTGAGAATGCCTGGGTGTTAACTGATGAGAATTCACCAGTGTTAATACATGTACATGTCAGGCAGTGAGAATGCCTGGGTGTTAACTGATGAGAATTCACCAGTGTTAATACATGTACATGTCAGGCAGTGAGAATGCCTGGGTGTTAACTGATGAGAATTCACCAGTGTTAATACATGTACATGTCAGGCAGTGAGAATGCCTGGGTGTTAACTGATGAGAATTCACCAGTGTTAATACATGTACATGTCAGGCAGTGAGAATGCCTGGGTGTTAACTGATGAGAATTCATCAGTGTTAATACATGTACATGTACCTTAGTTTGATTTCTTTTAATTTTATTTTTCCTTCTTCTTCTTGTCTTTATCTGTTTGTTGTTGTTAGTTTTTCCATGGTTTTTCAATTGTTACCCTTTTCATCTCTTCCGATGGATGTTATGTGTTAAAAAATAAATGAGACATGGAATCATTATGTAGGAGCACAATATGTTCACTTGCAAATTGACTTGGATATTGCGACAAACTAAGAATTGACTCTGGCATTATGTGTCACCATCTGCTGTATGTGCCTTGCCACAATTTTTTGTGGTATTGTCTTCATAACCTTATAATATATTTCTCTGTTTAGGTATTTAACCGCACCGAACCATGGCATTACTGAGATAGAAATATTAGATTTACTGAGCTGCAATGATGAGGTTATAAACGCTATCTATCCAAATCAATTGCCGATGGTTTTACGATTTCCTCACAGAGTTTGGGCAAACATCAAGTATGATCTTGGTGAGTACAGTTATTTATTCCAATTTTTAAAATATGACTTGACTCACAACTTTCATCTCATCAAGTCAGGTTTGATATTGTTCCACAATATAATGTACACATTGTGTGAAAAAAAAAACATTGATTGTTCACACAAAATTTGGTGTTTTAAGTTGGAAGTTCCTATTCTAGGGGGCGGACATCCAGGCATTTTCATCGCATGGCAACCATCACGATCGAAAACTCTTAGAACACGATACTTTGGGATGGTTGTTGAGACTCCCCTGAACAGTGTAACAAGATTGTTCAAGATTACTTCAAAATTGAGTTCCTGTTGTTTTCTCGAATTTTCACCGACTCTTCGCTCAGCGTTCCGCGTTCTCAGCAGCGCGCACAGAGCCCATAGAAATGTATGGTATAGTGGTTCGCATTTTAGCAACATGGAAGGTCTTGTGACATAGCTCCGCCCCGAGGATATTAAAGTTATGCCCGCTTCATTACATTAAAGGTAATCGTTTATTGAAAAATAACAAATTCAAAATAAATAATCAAAATATAAATTCAGTGAAAGAATTCAGCTACCTGGGGGTAATTTTCACCCCCAATGGAAAATTTAAGCTCAACAACCAAATGTTGAAAAATGCCATGAAAGCATTATTTACAATAAGAAACACTATACTAAGAAATAAAATGATATCACCAACTATATATATTAAAATGTTTGACCAACTTATATCGCCAATTTTAATGTACAGCTCAGAAATAAATTTAATATGGGCATGTGAATTTTTATATGACAACAATGTCTTGGAACAGGTATGTAGCTCATTTTATCATTTTTTTCTTGGCATTAATAAAATGACACTTACAAAGAGCATTAAAAGAATCAGAATAAAATAACACAAGCTGGATGAACTTGGAAATGATGAAGAAACCTACAAATTAACTAACAAAGGAATTACAATCACAGCTAACAGATACATATAAACAGACATGGAAAAATTAGATTAGAAATATCAAAGGCACAACTGGACAAGGTAACAAATTAAGAACATATTGTTTTTTTTAAAAAGAATTTGAAATGGAAAATTACTTGACAGTAATTACTAATTTCACTCAATGTCTGTCTAAATTTCCTTTGAGCGAACACAATTTAGGAATTGAATTAGGCAGAAGAACAACACCAAAATTACAACTGGAGGAGAGAATATGTACAAGGTGTAATGAAAATGAGATAGATGATGAAAACACCTTATTTTGAAAAGCACACACTTCAATAAAGAGAGAGAGGTATTATTCCAAGAGTGCAAGGAAGACATTGAAAATACAAATAATAACACCTACATCTTCTCTAAAATCAACAGTGAAAATAACAGTATTGAGTATACCTCTGTCAAAATTTAAAAAAAAAAACAATATTTAAGCCAAATGAATCACTTCACCTATGGGAGGGGGTGGGACTAAATTACTAGTACTTTATTCAGATCAGTTTTTGTTTTAATTATATTCATTCTAGTAATTGTTTTTTAACATTTATTTTAACTCTGTCTATTTTATTCTTATTTTCTATTATTGTATTGTATTGTATTTAGAATTGTCCTAATCTTGTAATACATTTTTTATTTACCATACTGAACCCACTGATGGTTCGGTAGTGTAATAAAGTTATTATTATTATTAAAATGGGTGTAGGGAAGACCATTCAAGGGACTCTTGTTTTCATCTCTGGGTATAGTCAGTAAAACAACCAATTCTAAATGACCAATAATTCATCTTTCCACAGAGATCCTTGAATGTCATCAAACAGCATTCTGACCAATAGTGTGACAGCATTTGCCCCAAAAATTACAAAAGTTACATTTACTGTAGTTGTTTAATTGCCACTTATATATGCATATACATGTATATGTTATGTACAGACAGAAATTTTCACTTTCAGTATTTAAGGTCCACCTTATTGTGAAACATTCAGAGAGAAAGAAACAATCAGTTTCTATTTATCATTTTGCAAGTCAAAGAATACTAAATGAAATGTTACACCAGTGCAAACCATCATACTCGCAACTGTTTTGTAAAGAAGATTGATTGTCGAACGGTGAATGCTCACAGTGAATGACACTGCTTTCATCGATATAGTAAATATAATTTTCTTGTATGATGATGAACATTGCGGCGTGGTTGTTAATGTTTGTATATCAATTGAATTCTCAGATATAATTTTGAATCTGATCAATTAGTGGTCTGGTGATTAGGTTACCTAGGTAACAACTGATGGTATGTGCACCACAAATTGAAATGCACATACATTTTTTTTTAAGGAATTGTGCAAAACAATGCAGGGAAGATAATATCAGTCTTAATACAAATTGGGTGTGGCATTCTTTGTTTTGTATATAACCGATAAAATTTTGTTGATTTCTTTCAATGTTCCAAAGTCACATGCACTCATATTGGAAATACTGAGTTCTCTTCCCATGATGCATTGTACATGTGAAATGAAGTATTAACACGTACGTTCCAAAGTCACATGCGTTTATGTTGGAGATACTGAGACTTGGATCTTCTTCCCACGATGCATTGTGAGAAACAAAGTAACACATTTCTAAATTCGCAAGCCTTCAAATTTGAGATTGATTTAATTCCTCTTCCCATGATGCATTGTGTTAAATGAAGTCACATGCCTTCGTATTTGAGATAATGAGATTTGGATTTTCTTTTTAGGTTTATTGTTGTGTGAAGTCCACATTGACAACAAAACACTACTGAAGTGGAGTAACGAAATTCTGAAACAGACAGCAAAAGACCGTTATCTCTGCACTAAGACGAATATCGTCATATGTCACCGTGATTTCTCTGAATTGTTTCTGCAAACATGGGTCAAACAGAAGCCGTTGAACCTGCCCAATAGAGAAGTGGAAGTTGATGACAACAGGAAAGTTGCTCCTCAGCCGTTACTGTACGGCGAGACTCGGTACAATATGAGACGTCTTAGCGAACTCTGGTATCACCTTATATTCTCAGGTGAGACGTACATGTATTATCTTATTTTCAGCATGTTTGTCATTCAAAGTGATAAGGAATTATGACCTTAAAAATTTCTAATATCTAACACATCTGATAGATTTATACTGCCTTAAAATTTATTTAATTCTGTTAGAACACAATCAATGTTATTAGTCATGTGACATGGCAAGTCAGGTGATAAAGTTGTCTTCTATGGGGGGGGGGGGTTAGTTGGTACAGGTTACAGGAAATAAAAACTGAATTTTACGTTTTACAGGAAATAAAATGAAAGTTCCATTTACAGTAAAAAATAGGTTTTTACACTTTACTGATAAAGCAAATAGCTATTAAATTACATTTTACATTTCTATAATATTTTTGATAATTTGTGTTACAGAATCAGAATTGGAAATTGCGTATGAATTACGACATTTAATTTGGAAAATGCTTTATTCGCTTTCAAAATATAATATCTTTGTACAAATTACGGACGAATAAAATAGCTGATTACATTTTACATCTTGCCCATAACTATGAATTTACATTTTTTATTTATTTAAATTACATTATTATGAAAATAAAAACAATTGATTACAGCTTATGAAACTACCCGCTTCCATCTTAATAGGTTATATTATGCTAATATGGTTGTCTTGTACTTACCCCCTCACAGGTGATCTGAAACGACTGAAAATGGCCACCTTTTGTAACTTTGAATACTTGCTAGCCAAGACACACGCCACCTCTATCTATCACCTTATTAGCGATTTTGACATCATGTTTCAACAGACGATAGATTCGGAACTGGAATTAATAAGTAATGCCATACGTCTCTCCTTGGCAGCATTGAGTGCTGATCCACTACAACTAGCTGCTGAGCTGATTGGTCGATTACTGCCAATGAAAGGTAAGCATTCAGTTAGAGAGCTTAAACATAAAAATAATGTGTCGTCTAAGGGGACATAAATTATTTTATAATTTTTAGTAGTTCGTAATAATAATAAACTTTGAAAATGTTATAATTTATGTTTTGCTGCAGGGTTTATACTTTATTTACTCTATTAATTAATAGTGCTTGCACTTTAATTAAACATATTGTTCTAGGGTCAAAACATATTTTCATGATTCAATAAATAGCAATTTTTGGTTTAGTTGCGCTTCTATTAGAGATGTGCTTCTAATAGATCAAATGTGGTAATCATATGATATTTTTTTAATATTTTTGATGAATTTCTAATTTAATTTTCTCTTATTTATATGACACATCATAAGTTTTGAGTGCAATAATATATCATGCAATTTCTTTATTAACAACAGTGTGTTTAAGTTTTATTTGTTTTCCTAATGTGTATAATTACTGTTGTGGTATTGTCATGGCTTGATCAGTAATATATTGTTCTATTGTTTAAATGTTTTACCTCTACCTGAATTAAACATTATTTTAACAATTGGTTGTTGTACTTATTCCAATCCAGTTGGTCAATCACTCAATCTACCTCCCAAACCAGTTTAAGTCTATTATTTTATCAAACTACTACAACCAAATTAATCATTCACTCGTACCTTCCTCAACCCAATTCATCATTCACTCGTACCTTCCTCAATCCAATTCATCATTCACTCGTACCTTCCTCAATCCAATTCATCATTCACTCGTACCTTCCTCAATCCAATTCATCATTCACTCCATCTTCCTCAATCCAATTCATCATTCACTCCAGATTCCTCAACCCAATTCATCATTCACTCCACCTTCCTCAACCCAATTCATCATTTACTTCACCTTCTTCAACCCAACTCATCATTCACTCCACCTACCTCAACCCAATTCATCATTCACTCCACCTACCTCAACCCAACTCATCATTCACTCCACCTCCCTCAACCCAACTCATCATTCACTCCACCTACCTCAACCCAATTCATCATTCACTCCACCTTCCTCAACCCAATTCATCATTCAGTTCACCTTCCCCAACCAAATTCATGCCAGCCACATTCACTCCACCTTTCCTAATCTAATTCATCATTCACTCCACCTGCCTCAACTCAATTCAACATTCACTCCATCTTACGCAACCAAATTCATCATTTACTTCACCTTCCTCAACCAAATTCATCATTCACTCCACCTTACGCAACCAAATTCATCATTCACTTCACCTTCCTCAACCCAATTCAACATTCACTCCACCTTACACAACCCAATTCATCATTTACTTCACCTTCCTCAACCAAATTCATCATTCACTCCACCTTACGCAACCAAATTCATCATTCACTTCACCTTCCTCAACCCAATTCAACATTCACTCCACCTTACGCAACCAAATTCATCATTTACTTCACCTTCCTCAACCCAATTCTACATTCACTCCAATTTACTCCCCCTGCCTCAACCCAATTCAACATTCACTTCACCTTACGCAACCAAATTCATCATTTACTTCACCTTCCTCAACCAAATTCATCATTCACTCCACGTTACGCAACCAAATTCATCATTCACTCCACCTTCCTCAACCAAATTCATCATTCACTCCGTCTTCCTCAACCAAATTCATCATTCACTTCACCTTCCTCAACCAAATTCAACATTCACTCCACCTTACGCAACCAAATTCATCATTTACTTCACCTTCTTCAACCCAATTCATCATTCACTCCACCTTCCTCAACCCAATTCATCATTCACTCCACCTTACGCAACCAAATTCATCATTTACTTCACCTTCTTCAACCCAATTCATCATTCACTCCACCTTCCTCAACCAAATTCATCATTTACTTCACCTTCTTCAACCCAATTCATCATTCACTCCACCTTACGCAACCAAATTAACCATTCACTCCACCTTACGCAACCAAATTCATCATTCACTTCACCTTCCTCAACCCAATTCAACATTCACTCCACCTTACGCAACCAAATTCATCATTCACTTCACCTTCCTCAACCCAATTCAACATTCACTCCACCTTACGCAACCAAATTCATCATTCACTCTACCTTACGCAACCAAATTCATCATTTACTTCACCTTCTTCAACCAATTCATCATTTACTCCATATTTCTAAACCCAATTCATCATTCACTCCACCGTCTTCAACCCAATTCATTCACTCCACCTTCCTCAACCAAATTCATCATTTACTTCACCTTCCTCAACCAAATTCATTATTCACTCCATCTTCTTCAACCCAATTCATCATTTACTCTACCTTTTTCAACCCAATTTATCATTTAATTCATCTTCAACAACCCAATTTGCTTCACTATTTTCATCTTCAAATTGTGGGGTGATTATTGTTGTAAAGCATAAATAAAAGAACAACTGTAATAGCAATTTTGTTGCACGTTTCTTTGCTTCAATTTCCATGGTTTGTCCAAAATGCAGGAACAAGTAAGAATCATTTTTACATGTTGTCATTTTATTCCTCCTCTTGTCCTATCATCTTTACTGAAACACATTTGAAAAGAAAGCATCTTCCATCAACTCAAATTTTACTCCCTTATTCTTGCTCATTATTCGCTCCCTCTTCTTGTAGTCTCACTTTCATTGATGCATTGTACCTTCTTAAACCTTTGAGTGCTAAAATCAGGCACCAACTACAAAATATCCATTTATTGTCTCCCTTATTGCTTAAAAGAATGTTGTGAAAATTGCTATTATTTTGATCAAAAACTAGAAACAATATCATATTTGGTCAGTTCAATTGAGATTGAATTCAGTGAAAATTACAAAAAAATGTCTGAACAAAGTTATCCCAATTTGAGCAGGGTATATAATTGGTTCTCAAATGTTTAAGCTATCAAACAATGATTCCAATTTGTTTTAAAATGAAGTGTAAATAAAAGAATCATACTATTTTCTGTGATAAATTGTAAAGATACTTTCTAATTTCAAATGTGAATTCTTATCAAATAGTTCTCACATATTTCCCATGTATGAATTACTCAATGACAGCCATACCACCAAACCCGTTAGTGTGGTATGGTTATCACTGTGTTGAGTTTCCCATGTTGGTGCATGTTGTGTTCAATGCTGTGTGCTTTATTTTCATCTTAATCTTGTATACAAAATGAAACACAATTTTTTTCCCTAGTTTAGTCTATATGCACAAATGTAAAGATAGAATTTACCATCCATTGTTTCTACCAAATTGAAACCTTTCTGATAAATATGTAATAGTGTTACTTTTAGTCTTCACTAGTTACCCTATATCTCGCTGATACTCTCCTATGATTAATTGGTTACATCTGGTTGGTGGTTAATGCTAATTTCCAATGATAACTTGTCAGCCACATGTTTCAGCATATTATATCTGGTGAACTCCAGTGTTCACTGGTTAACATGTTATAACTGGTTGATAGTTTTCAAAGATTAGCATATTATATCTGGTGAACTCCAGTGTTTACTGGTTAACATGTTATAACTGGTTGATAGTTTTCAAAGATTAGCATATTATATCTGGTGAATTCTCATGTTCACTGGTTAACATGTTATAACTGGTCAATAGTTTTCAAAGATTAGGTACTAGTATTATATCTGGTGAACTCCAGTGTTCACTGGTTAACATGTTATAACTGGTTGATAGTTTTCAAAGATTAGATATTATCTGGTGAATTCCAGTGTTCACTGGTTAACATGTTATAACTGGTCGATAGTTTTCAAATATTAGGTATTATATCTGGTGAACTCCAGTGTTCACTATTTAACATGTTATAACTGGTTGATAGTTTTCAAAGATTACCTTGTTAATGTTCCTGTGGATTCTGGCTGCCATTGATTAATATGTTATATTAAGTTGATAGTTTGGTAATGTCATATATTTTTATGCTAGTTACTTTTTTGGGTCAATATTTGTTAATTCAGCTTCATACTAGTTATACTAGGTTCTCACTAGGTAATAATGTTAATATTTTAAAAGTTGATTTTTCTTTGTCATTAGATGATTACCCAGAGGATTTAGAAAACCTAGTCCAGCAAGCAATGGAATGGTGTGACCTTTATACTCGTCCTCTTCTGGTTCCATTATCGTCATGGTTACCAAATCCTAGGGAATCTCTCGTGACGAGTCTTTCATGTGAAGGTTTGACTTGGATGACGGTCACGTTAGATAACCAGAATGTGATCTGTGCAACACGAAGTAATGCCGTAACTGTTTATCACATCGCCTCTAAGCAACGAATACGCAACTACCACGGACACGAGAGTGATATCACATGCTTGCAGTTATCGCATGATGAAAAGTTCATCGCTACTGGGTCAACCGATAAAACAGTTCGGATGTGGGATTTAGAGACCGAGAAGAGCCTGTTGACGCTGACAGGTCACATGGGGTCGGTAACATGCTTGACAATATCCCATAACGACCATCGTGTCATGAGTGGGTCTTCTGATTGTATGTTGAACGTTTATCGAGTTGACACAGGTGAAAAACTTCATACGTTCAAGGAGCATTCTAAGCCAATCACATCAATTGCCATTAATAGTTATGACGATGTGCTCGTATCAACAGCAGCCGATACAACCATTAAGGTATATCCTTGTCACACTTTAGTACATTATTATTATTATTAATATATATCATTCTGTATTATTTTAAATTATAACATGTCATAATTTGGCACACTGCATGGATAACTGTATCCATCTTATTTGGGAAAGCATTTTTTTCTAAGATGGCAATCATATTGCAAAAGGTAGTATATAGCAGTTTTCATACAGTTAAGATCTTCGTATTCCAGGAAAACTTACAAAAATAACTTGAAAGTTATTTTGTGGATGCTGCAATGTATTGTACTCAAATCAATAAAAGATAATTTGAACTTTTTACTGATGTAGGACTATTTACGACAGGAATGATTTTATAAATTAATGTGTGCATATCCTTTATGTCATTGGGATAGTATATGAACTTAAAATACTGTAAAATGTTTTGATTTTGTTGCTATCAATTTTGGTGATACATTGTTGCAAAAATGTTAGTTTTCCCTGTTATTTGTCAACAATGAAGTATTTTCATCTTGTTTCTTGTTTATATATTTTCAGATTTGGAATTTGGATGACTTTACATTACTGGAAAGCATTGAAGACTTTTCCTCTTCTATGATTTGCATGGCTCTATCAGACGACAATACTTTTATCGTGTCAGGTAAAGATATGCAAATACTTGGCCATAAACATGACCCCTGAAAGATCACATTTCCTGGTACTATGCATGACTCTTGAAAGTTCACACATCCTGGTACTTTGCATGACCCCTGAAAGGTCATACATCCTGGTACTATGCATGACCCCTGAAAGTTCACACATCCTGGTACTTTGCATGACCCCTGAAAGGTCACACATGGTACTATGCATGACCCCTGAAAGGTCACACATCCTGGTACTATGCATGACCCATGTGAGGTCACACATCCTGGTACTATGCATGACCCCTGAGAGGTCATACATCCTGGTACTATGCATGACCCCTGAGAGGTCGCACATCCTGGTACTATGCATGACCCCTGAGAGGTGGCACATCCTGGTACTATACACGACGCCCTGAAAGGTCACACATTACTGTGGTATTCTTGTTAGTACCAGTATTATTCCTAAATATTTTGCCATGTTTTCAAACTTTGATAACAAATGTAAATTTTATGGAAATCTTAATTCCAGGTGTCGGAGGTCATTTGACACATCACTAATCTTTATGATTTACTGTGACACAACTAGTTGTGCCAATTCACTGTGTGATACAATTTAACAAAGAATTCATTGGAAAACAACAGTATTTTGACATATAAGATTCACTTTGTTACATCCAGGTTGTGAAAACGGAAAGGTTCAGTTGAACAGCTTGACTACGGGAACTGAAATACATTGTCTTGAACGACACAAGCATAAGGTGAGTTAATTGGAAAATCAAATACTGTCCTCTCAGTTGTATTATTAGCAGCTGTACTGTTTACTTCTCTCACTAGGCTTCCTGCTTTCAGAATTTTAATTTTAGTTATAATTTTACGACAACAAAATCCACAACTTTTAGATCGTTTTACGAGCTTCTGGGTGTTATCAAGTCAAAGAAGATGTCTCAAATTATTCAGAGACTCACTATAGTTAAGTGCTACAGTCAGCACACGTTTGAATTCCGTTAAAATAAACCAAATAATATCATATAACATTTTTTGACTTGGGATGAGGTGAAAATAAAGCCAGCTTCAGAAATGACCTCTGGAATTGCGGTGTGTTTGTGCAGCTACAGACACAACCAAACAGTAATAATTTTACACCTAGTGACAGGAGTGTTTAGTCCATCTGTACAAATCACCAGCTCAGCAGGGAGGGAGACATTTCAGACAGACAGACAGACAGACAGTTTCATTCACGCTGTGAATGCTTGCTTGATCAACAATCTGCTTTCTTTTATCTCACTTTTCTTGTGATCGCTGGGTACTGAATCAATTAAAATGAATAATTAACAATTTTGAGCTTTTTACAAAATTCAATCATGATGTTATATCAATCATGTTCATATCATTATATATAGCAATATTTTGTATCTTGTTTCAGGTTTCGGCCATTACAGTGTCACATGATAGTACATATGCAATCGTCGGCACCACGGATAACATGGTTCATGTTTACAACCTGAAATCAGCCGAACTGTTGCACACGTTCACTGGCCATACACATCCAATTACTTGTTTATCAGTTACCCAGGATGACTATTTTGTGATCTCAGCATCGTTTGATCAAACAGTCAAAGTTTGGAATCTGGACAAGCAGCCACGGAATGAACCTAACCCTGATAATCATAAAGACCAGGTTTTATGTGTAGGTGAGTTAAAATCTGCATTTTATTTCTATTAAAATAAGTCGCGGGTGACAGTAAAAACTGTGACTTATCGAGGGGCCTTATGAGGGGGGGGGGGTCGTGCATTGAAAACGTATAAAAAGCACACATACACCCATGGGTTATTTATATGTGTCTTCTTTATTAAAACACATCATGATCACGATTAATAAATACACAAGTTAATTGTAAGGTTCTGCATTGAATAGATACTTACCTTGGTTAGCACACACTGTCATTGCTTACCGCCCTCACAGGTCCTTTTCTATTTATGAGGGTATTTGTTTTTATGTTAATACATTCCCTGGTATTATCATACACAAGTGAAAGCTATTGCATTGAATATTATGCATCTTAAACAGAACCCTAATATTAATTGCCAAGCTTCATGTTTGAAAGGCTATTTTTAAATTTTGAACTAATTTTAAATATGCCTCCAAGTACACGAGAAATGTTTCCAAGCTTTCTTGGTTTTAAATATATGGAAATATTATTTTGTGAAAGATGACAACAGTTGACCTGGGCACTCAAGGGATTATAGCCTCTCCATTTTTTTGGTAGAGACATTTCACTACAAGAAGCTTGAATACTGGGGGTACTTAATTTAATTTAATTTAGTTTAAAGGGTGGTAGTCGTTGCGCCAAGCATGCGCAAGATATATGGGTCTCAGATAAAAAAAGATAGCGACTTTGACTGTTGTGCAGAACAACAAGTACAAACTGAGATGTTACCAAGCTTTAGTTAGGTATTTTTTAGGTGATTGGAAGGTATTGAACGAGTCTCCGGCGGTATTTAGTGCAAGTCGCGCACAGGTCAAACCTCATACTTGTGATTTCCATTAGAAGAGCGAATTGGATTGTGGGAAAATCAATGTTTATCAATGCGAAATGTTGCACATGTGCAGCGCAACGATTGCCGCCCTTTAAGTTCCAAGTTTTATAATTTCTTACCATCAGCTATCTCTAAAGACGGCACCTATGCTATTACTGGGTCCAAAGATTGCACTCTAAAGATCTGGAATTTGGAAATCAGTCAGATTGTCCAGTCATTAGAGGAGCATGAGAAGCCGGTGACGAGTGTAGATCTAGCCGAGGACTGTACATTTGCTGTCTCTGGTGAGTTTCTGTTTTAATAATCACATGCAGCCATGCTGTGCTGACTTCTAACCTTGTTAGTCTGCTGCCTCTATTTTCATACAGCACTCGCTGCTTAACCATAATATGGCTGCAGCTTCTACTGCTCTTTCTTCCACTTATAGTTAATTACGGCTAGTTTCTTCACTACTTTGATGGCTGACTATGAGTCCAATCCTTCAGTCTGTTGAAGTGAGGTTTGGACACTCCCATTAAAAATGTTTACATGATATGCCTCTAAAATTCAGTGAAAAATACATTTTGCCTGTTTTATGTATTTTTTCTATATTTATGTGATAAGTTGATCCAAATGGACTCATTTCCTATTGGTTACAAATGGCAACAAATTATGGGGTACAAAATTTAAGGTGGTGACAAACGTTGACTTTGGCGCTTTTATTTAGAGAAAATTTTGTTTGGAAGTCTTCTTATAAATGAATTTACAGAAGTAGTACTTCTTTTTTTATTTTGTTTTCTTGTTTTGAATCTTTATAATATTCAGGTTCTGAAGATGCTACAGTGAAAGTGTGGAGTGTCATGATGGGGTTCGTTGTTGTGACGTTTTCTGAGCACCGTGATAAAATCACTACCGTCCGTATCTTATCTGATAATCAACGAATCCTCTCAGCTGACATGAAGAACTCGATAAAAGTTTGGTTTGCTGAATCCGGTGAAGTGATCCTATCCTGTAGTGGTCCGTCAACTTTTGTGACAACGACACCTAGCAGCACGTTCTGTATCAGCGGCGATGGTGATGAGAGAATGAAGATTTGGCAAGTCGGTGATGGAAAGTCAGTTCATACAATTAGCCATCTAAAACCCATCACTTGCTTCACAGTCACCAAAGATAACAAGTTTTGTATCACAGGGTCAGAGGACGAGTCATTAAAAGTTTGGGAAATTGAAACAGGAAAAATCACGCAGGTAAACTAATTTATTATTACCACAGTCATCACATTTTGATTTTCATGTAAAAAAAAAAATATATTTTACATACGTTGTACATGTCACATGGGACCCATATCAAAGACTAATGAGAAATAAAGTTACCACACCACAGTCATCTCATTTTGATTTTCATGTAAACAAGCAATATATTTTTAAATACATCTAAGTTGTATATGTGCCATGGGACTCACTCATCAAGGACACAGTGTGACTAATGAGACCCTATGAGAAGTAAAATTAGCACTACCGGGGGTACTTGATTTTCATGTGTTACCAGTTTTAAACTTCATTTTTTTCATAATTATAATTACATATAATAATGATAATTAGCTGAGATAATGTAAGGTATTGTAAGAAGTAGTTTTGATATATATTTACCCTGTTCATAATATCGTAGATAAAAGTAAAGTTTTATAGGGAAAATGTCTGTCCTTGTTGTTGTCGTCGTTGTTGACTCAGGCATAACATTTGTGTTTTGTGGTTACAATAACTCAAACAGTATTTATCCAGATTCTTTCATACTTGGATATTATATTAACCAATTTAGGATCTCAGCTAAGTTTGATTTTAATTTGTATTTTGTGTTTTCTATGTACTGCATCAACAAAAAACCATACAAGAAACTGACAACAAGGAAATGAATGAGCACAAGACACGCACTTTTTATTGTTATGGAATATGCTAATATTTGTTTTGGGGATTACTGTCAAACATCAAATGATTTAATTTGCTGAATTACTGACTCAATAGAGATCTTAAAATAATAAATGTTAGATATTTTGGATTTGGTTCATAATACCAAGTAAACTTAAATCTGTATGTCAAATTTGCAAGAAATTGTACACATTACCATATACAAGACATCATCATACAGAGTCTTTTTAAATTATTTCTGTTCTCAATATTGATAATTATCTTTTACATTACTACAAAGTGACAAAGCAAGGTTGTCGAAAAGCTCTGCTCTGAGTCAAAACTACGAAGTGACAAAGTAAGGTTACCGAAAAGCTCTGCTCTGAGTCAAAACTACAAAGTGACAAAGTAAGGTTGCTGAAAAGCTCTGCTCTGAGTCAAAACTACGAAGTGACAAAGTAAGGTTGCCGAAAAGCTCTGGTCTGAGTCAAAACTACGAAGTGACAAAGCAAGGTTGCCGAAAAGCT